TTTTTCGGCCGAAAAAAAATCGGCCAATTTTCGCATTATTAATGGGTTAATTGGTCGGCCATTTTTCTGGATTTTGGCATATTTTTTTTATCAGTAAAGTTGGAAAAAAATCGGCCGATTTTCATGGCAATGATGGGCAAATCGGCCAATCTTTTTACCAATAACAAATTTGCACATGAGCCGTGACCTTCCAGAAAAAGAAGAAGAAGAAGGAGAAGAAGAAAAAGAAGAAGAAGGAGAAGAAGAAAAAGAAGAAGAAGGAGAAGAAGAAAAAGAAGAAGAAGAAGAAAAAGAAGAAGAAGAAGAAGAAAAAGAAGAAGTAGAAAAGAGAAAGAAGAAAAAGGAGAAGAAAAAGAAGAAAAAAGAAGCAGAAGAAGAAAAAAAAAGAGGAAGAATTCCAGTTCGCTATTATATTTGACATTAAAAAGTATAGCGGTTGCAACAATGTATCTATTTGTATCCGAATAAAAACATCTGTATCTGAAATGGATACAAATAGATACAATGTTGCAACCGCTATACTTTTTAATGTCTAATATAACAGGGGAGCTCTCTGCAGGGACAGAAGTAATTAAATGCCAGCCATAGACGGGACGAAAATTGGTCGATTTTTTTACCATTGGTGGTAACGTCGGCCTATTGAACGACCGATTTTTCATTTTTTTTTTTTTTTTTTAAACGGACGGTTTTTGACCCATCTATAGTCTGAGGACCTCCATGATCTTGGAGAGATGGGCTAAGTCAGGCATAGGCAACTCAAGAGGCAAGACAATACTGTTTGTGCCGGATCCTGCCGCCATTAGCTGTAAGTGACAGCCTACTAACCTGGCTCACCCACCTCCTGGACATCACTGAAAGCCTAATGGCAGTAGAGAGTGTCTGTGTTCTGTGCGGAAGCCCACCTGCAGATCTACAGTGGTACCCCATGATCCTAAAGGTATACGGTTTGCGACTGATCCAAGGTTTGAAGTTTATGCACTGGGGCTCATCTGAAGGCTGAAGTTCATGCAGTGAGGCAGATCTAAAGTCTGACACTTATGAATTAGGGCTGTTCAGGGCATTTAGAAGCTTTTTAGGGATGTTCACCTACAGGTGAAAAACATTAAAGTGGTTCTAAAGGCAGAAGGTTTCTTATCTTAATGCATTCTATGCATTACAGCAAGAAATCTTCTGGGTGCCCCCCAGCCCCCAGCCTCCACCCCCCTTATACTTACCTGAGCCCCATCTCGATCCAGTGATGTGCAAGAAAGCAACTGCTCTGCCAGATCTTTCCCTCCTCATTGGCTCACAAAGCAGTGGTAGCCATTGGCTCCTGCTGCTGTCAATCACAAAGAGTGAGCCAATGAGGAGAGAACAGGGGCGGGGCTGAGCCACGCTCTGTGCTTGAATGGACAATGTGGCAGGGGGAGGAACAAGGAAAGCAAGCGGAGGACCCAAAAAGAAGAGCATCGGGCAGCTCTGTGCAAAACCATTGCACAGAGCAAGCAATTATAACTTGTTTGTTTTTTTAAGAAAAAAAATACAACCTTTAGAATCACTTCAAGCCTGGGTTCACATACGTGCAGTGCGGTATATCGTATGTGATTCGCGCAGGATTCGCACCGCATTCCTGTGCACATGCGACTTGTGTGCGGTGCGATCGGAGCCATACATTTTGTATGACTCTAATCGTACCACAGCCACACCAAAAACATGCAGGACCTTTTTTTGGTCCGCACTAGAATCAGATCGCATGAGTATTCACACCCATGCAAACCGATTCTGCACATCGTACTATGTTCTGTGGACCGCTTTCGGAGTGTTGTTAACTTAACATACACACCCGCAGCGGTTCACATGAACGGGGTGCCATTCTGATGCGGTGCGGAATTCGCACTGAAAACGCTGCAAATTCTGCACCGCATCAGAGTGAACCAGGGCTGTATGTGCTACGAAAATGTGTCAAAGATTTTTCAGGACAGTACTAACCGCAACAAAATAATGTGAGCAGTTCAGACCGAAAACAACATTACTGCTCATGTTCAAACATTATGTCAGCATTTTAAACAGATGCAAAAATGCAAGGAAATACTTGTGGGCCTGAGAGGGTTGTAAAAGAAAAAAAAGGAACACATTTTACATCTGAAGGAGGAAACCATTATGGTTTGTAGGTGAATTTTATTTTCCATTAGGTTTATGCATTTAAAATGCTTTGTGCCAGTCAGTTTACTGTATGTATACAACCCTTGTTTTACAAAGAAAACATTAATATCGAAATAAGGATTACCACTCATTATTAAAAGCGATATTGTAGCTTCTCCAATGACATGTCCATGCTGTGCACCATGTTCTGCGGCATCAAGTCTGGGATGTGCCTTATGCGATGTTAGGCACTGATGGCGTGCAGCAGATGGAACCAATTAAAGTAGTATTAAAACCTCTGAGATCATAAAAATAATATTGTGTTGTCTACAATGGAAAAATTCCCCAGTACATTACATAACTAACACATGTCCCCAAGCACTTCCCTGGCAGCAGCTGCTGGTCTTTAACTGCAGCTTCCCTGAACTTCCTCTCAGGGGGGAGCATGCATTGTGTACCACATGAGAAGAGCCAGGACACCTGCATGTGTGGCTCCATGGACCTCTGCAAAAAAGGAATTCGGAAAACAGGGCAAGTGCAGAGGGGACCAGAAGGAACGGAGAAAAGGACAAGTTTTATTTATGAAGAATCAGCATATAGTATAAGGCTCCATGTACATGGGACACTTCTGAATGATGGAAACTGACTGCTGGAAAATGTAGGTTAAAAAAAGTCTGTTTAGCCGCGTTTACACACCGCGTTTATGCGCATGTATATGCTTTTGCATTTAAAAGCATTTTTTAAAGATAACCTCAGGAGACCTTCCAAAATGCCCAGAATGCACTGAAAAACAGTAAAAAATTAACTATTTCAGACATTTTGAAAGAAATAGAGAGAGCAGAAGCAGAGAGAGTAGTATTTGTTGAGATTAGCTATCTTTTTTTTTTGTGGTGTTTGGATGTGTTCCAGCTCATTTCTCTGCAGAAATTATTGCAGCAGTGTCAAACATATTTTCTTTCATGCAAAACCTCAAAGTATGGTGTGATAGGTCCATTTTAGTACCAGGAAAACGCTTTGCATGTATTTTTCATAATGAAAAAAGGCTCTGGACAGCATCTGGAAATGGAAGAGTTAAAAAAATGTTTTAAACGCAAACGCTTATAAACACAGTTAGCCGCGTTTTCCGGTTGTATACACTATGGATCCCGTCATGAGCATAATGCAGCACGTTCTACCATTTTTTCCATCACGCAACACCTGGAACTGACTGCGTTGGTGCACTGGGTCCATTTAAATATATGAAAAATGCTTTGCATGCATTTCTGATGAGGAAAAAGGCTCTGGACAGCATTTGGATATGGAACAGTTAGAAAACACTTCTAAACGCAAACGCTTATAAACGCGGTTAGCCGCGTTTGCAAGCATTTGGCGTTTGAAACGCTGATAAAATCCACTCCTGAATGCAAGTTTTCTGCATTCAAAAAAATGACTGTAAACTCAACTGCCTGTAAGCGACTGTAAAAGACGATGTGTACATGGACACATAGGAAAGCAATAGGGAGAGTTCAGGGGCTGCTGAATAAAACACTGAACAGCTCCTAAACGTGAGTTTATCAGCTGCAGTGTACATGAGCCCTAAGTCTACTGATAAAAATGAGCCTTTAATATTACTTAATGCAAGAAAATGTGAGTAACAGAGGTGACCCTTGCAGAGGGGTTTTGCTTTTGGGTGCCAAAAAATGTTTGCCTACAGGCTCCAATGGTGTAAATCCAACCCTGATTATACTAATTCGTAGCATCTTTGACCTTCATATATATGAACAAGGGCCAAACACTTTACTGGACAATGATGAACCCCCCCCTAATCAACCATGTATTCCACATCATTTTAGTGAAACCCTAGGTAATATAAATTTTGTTTTACACTAAGCAGGGGGTGAGTATTATGTGATCACACATACAATCTGTAAAAGCCATCAGCAGCTCTGCTTCTAAGAACACGAAGCTTGTCTTACAATACAACTCACTAATCTAAACAGCTTCTATCTGATGCATATTGAATTTCGGGACTTTGGCTCCCCGTGTCATCCACACTTGCTGGATACCAGGTTTTCTTGGAGGAAATGTTATAGTTGGACATTTACTGTAAATAGCTAATCATCGTCTAATATAGCCTCTGAAATCATGAGAATCAGCGATAGCTATGGTTCCCAAGATACCTTAAAACCACTTCATATATCCAGACTTCAATATACTACCACATCGTTAAACAGTAAACCTGACACTTGGGAAGGATGGACTAGCAACATCTCCAGCCTGCAATGTAATATAGAACCAGGCAGTGTGTGGTATTAGAACCGAGATTAGAAAGGTTATTTCATTGACCGGGCCATATCCCTGAGACACTTCCCCATAGCCACTGTGTTACAACAAACCGATAATGGCACTTTCATCTGAAGAACCAATAACGGAATGCTGTAGAGACATTGTAGCGTGGTGATGCCATGTTTCTTAGAAAAATAAATGGCTTTATTTCTAATCCTTCAAATCCAAGTTTGCTAAGAACCAGTAATAACAGCATTATGTGGATTTACTGCATGGCTAGTGCAATGTACAGAAAAGCAGCACTCTTTCCAGGAATCCCCTCTACAACTCTGATGTCTATAGAATTCATGCATATCTAATGCCAAGATGTATTTATTTTTTGAGTAGGGTTAAATAAGTTAAAGCTCGTCAGTTAATTTTGTCTGTCTGTTTCCTATAGAGGAAATTTGACATTACTTCCTGTCCCAAAAACACAACAGGAAATTAGAGGGAATCTCCAAAGTAAGGGGAAATTCCTTCTTAGGCATGTGTCGCTGAAAAAGATATACGATTTATCATCACATTATGTACTACTTATTAACCACTTCCTGTCCGGCCCATGTATATAAACGGCCGAACGGTTGCAGTGCAAGGGTGGATTGCCGTTCATAAACGGCGCCCATCATTTTAGCCTGTGCGCGCTTCCTGGGAGCACGCGGCACCACGATCACCGATCGCTGTACGGGACCTCTGTGTGAGGTCCCAATCATGTGATCACTGATTGGCTGATCAGTGATCACATGAATAGTAGTAAGCAAGATGTCACTTCTGACATCATTGCTTACTACATGTGAAATCTGTGAATGATCACAGAGGTCACATGGTACAAGGCTATTCACAACAGCCTTGTACCATGTGACAAGCTGTGACCAATCACAGCTCGCACAGTATTTCTCAATGGCTGCAAGAATGCAGCCAGAGAGAATGAGAAATGATTGCTTGTACAGCCTTTATGGGTGTAAAAGCAATCAGTGTAAAAAAAAAAAAAAAAAAATCTTCATCACCCCCCCACAAGTAGTACAGTGGCTCTATGGTGACACTGTACTGCTAGGGTGACAGCATGTTTAAAAAAAAACAAAACAAAACAAATACTAATATAAAAAAAAAAAAAAAAAAAATTTTTAAAAATGTTAATAAAAAGATAGCTGAATACATTGTGGCCAAGATTTATGAAGAAAGATTATTTATTTGCAAAATTTTATAAGAAAAACACTTTTTTTTTTATTTTTGGACTTTTTCATTTATAAAGCAAAAAAATAAAAATCCCAGTGGTAAATAAATACCACCAAAACAAAGTTTTATCTGTCTCAAAAAAATGCTAAAAAATTCATATGGGTACAGTGTTACATGACCGCGCAATTGTCATTCAAAGTGTGACAGCACTGAACGCTGAAAATTGGCCTGGACAGTAAGGGGGTAAAAGTGTCCAGACTGGAAGTGGTTAAAGTGGTATTATGATAAAAAAAAAAAAATAAATATACATGTTATACTTATCTGCTCTCTGTAATGGCTTTACACAGATCATCCCTGATCCTCCTCTTCTCGGGTCCCCTTCTGATGCTCCTGGCCACTCCCTCCTGCTGAGAGCCTCCAGAGCAAGCAGCTTGCTATGGGGGAACCAAAGCAGGCTTGCTCCTGAGCCGCTGCTCTGCGTGTACATTCAGACACAGAGCATGGCTCGGCCTCGCTCCCCCTCTCTCACTGACTGTTATTGACAGCAGAGGAACCAATGGTTCCTGCTACTGTCTTACTGGGCGTTTGGAAAACTCTTCTGAATGATGGAAACTGACTGCTGGAAAATGTAGGTTAAAAAACGCCAGTTTAGCCACGTTTGCATACCGCGTTTATGTGCGTTTGCATTTAGAAGCGTTTATAAAAGATAACCTCAGGAGACCTTCCCAAATGCCCAGAATACACTGAAAAACAGTACAAAATTAACTATTTCAGACATTTTGAGAGGAATAGAGAGAGCAGAAGCAGAGAGAGCAGTATGTGTTGAGATGACCTGTCTTTTCTGGTTGTATTCACTATGGATCCCATCATGAGCATAATGCAGCACGTTCTACCATTTTTTCCTTCACGCGAAACCTGGAACTGACTGCTCTGGTGTACTGGGTCCATTTGAATACATGGAAAACGCTTTGCATGCATTTCTGATGATGTAAAAAAGGCTCTGGACAGCATTGGGATATGGAACAGTTAAAACGCAGTTAGCCGCATTTACACGTGTTTACAAACGTTTGGCATTTCAAACGCTGATAAAATCTACTCCTGAATGCAAGTTTGATACGTTCAAAAAAAAATGACTGTAAACTCAACTGCCTGTAAATGACTGTAAACGACATAGTGTACATGGACACATAGGAAAACATTAGGGAGAGTTTGGAGAGTTCAGGGGCTGCTTAAAAAAACACATAAAAGCTCCTAAACACGAGTTTTTCAGCTGCAGTGTACATGAGCCCTTAGAGGCTTCCCCTCTACTTCCTAGCCAGACTTGAAATGGTGAGAAATCCCTACAAGGGAAATGCAGAAAAAAAAGTAAGCATGAATAAGTCCTCATGCGCACTGGACGTTTTTACAGCGGCTGTTTTTGGCTTTTGACATTTTTTTTCTACAGCTAGTAAACCCCCCAGCATGTTATCCTATGTGTCCATGCACACAGACTGTAATCAAAATTTTTTGGCTGGGACGCTTTTTGGCTGGAAAACCCAGGACTAGTGGGTTTCTAGAGGAGATTTGTAGCTCTAAAAATGCTCTAACGCTGAAAAACGCAACAAAACATGCTAAAACGCTGCAAACTGTATTTTTTTGGTAAAAAAAAAAAACCCTGCTAAAAACCACAAATGCGGAAAAACGCTGGAAAACGCTACTAAACGCTAATGCAAAAATGCTAAAAAAAAGCTGAAAAACTTGTTTTTAACGTGAGTGAGATTCTGCTCTATTTCTCTTAAAATGTCTGAAATAGTTAATTTTGGAAGATCTCCTGATGTTATCTTTAAAAAATGCTTCTAAACGCAACGTACATAAACGCGGTATGCAAACGCGGCTAAACAGACGTTTTTTAACCTACGTTTTCCAGCAGTCAGTTTCCATCGTTCAGAAGTGTTTTCCAAACATACCGTGTACATGAGCCCTAATAGAGACACAGATGATAATAAAAACATAAAAAAAAAACCAACATGGGTTCTATCCCATTTCCACTCCAAAATAAATAAAAAAGCTTTAGCTGCAGTTGGGCTTTAAAATTAAATTTATTTATAGAGGTCTATGCATGAAACCAAAAGGAAAGCTAACAGAGGAGGGAAGAGGGACTGTGGGACCAGGGGCGGACTGACAACTCATGGGGCCCCCGAGCAATAGGGGACCATGGGACCCCTGTGTCCTTGCCAAAACTCAAAAAAGCCTATGAAAAAGGTACCAGGGACATCTCATGGGGCCCCCTACTGCCCCCGGGCCCTCGGGCAGTGCCCGAGTTTCCGAATGGTCAGTCCGCCCCTGTGTGGGACCTATGTAGTCATAATATATAGGACAGTACATTTAACACTTTCCAAATTAGCCTATATCATTTTTATCCACAACTGCCGAACGCAAAGCTCGAACTTGTTAATTCTACATGACAAATGATGCCTCTTTAGCTTCTTCTTCCCACAAACACAGGCCTACCTGTAAAATTGAATGTGGTTATAGACAGGGAAGCACAGCCAAGATTTTGTAGGGTATCGTGAAACATCAATCCCTGGCTACCGTTTTTTTTAAAATTAAAATTCAGCATCTAACCAAAGATCTTCTTATCCCCAAGTGATGCCCAAAATTACAGCACTGATGCAATTTCTGTCGTGTAAACAAAATCTTTATATTTATATTTTATCCCTGGAAACTGGAAAATCATTTTGCTGTATAAAAACACATAGCTGTGGTGAGGGGGATTCACAGTCACATATTTACCTTCAGGGCCTAGGCTGTTTAGGCTGCCAGGCCTTGTAGCTGTCATATAAGCTGAGGATATAGTTCACTGATTGTGTAAATACCCCGTGGCTCTTTCAGCTACTCCAAAGTAAAAAAAAAAAAAAGTTTTGATCAGCAGCATGTGACAATATAAATTAACTGAACTCCAGGCAGATAAACGCAAACGTTATTTCAGGTAGAAATTCATTAAAAGCAGTTAAAGCTGGAGTTTAGCTATGGCAAATGAATGCATATTTACATTGATCCAGCGTCCCCCCCCTTTTTTTTTTTTTTTTTTTTTTTTTTATTTTTCCCCCCTTTTTTTTTTTTTTTTTTTTTCCCCTTTTTTTTTTTTTTTTTTTTTTTTTTTTTTTTTTTCCCCCCCTTTTTTTTTTTTTCTTTTTTTCTTTTTTTTTTTTTTTTTTTTTTTTTATTTTTTTTTTTTTTTTTTTTTTTTTTTTTTTTTTTTTTTTTTTTTTTTTTTTTTTTTTTTTTTTTTTTTTTTTTTTTTTTTTTTTTTTTTTTTTTTTTTTTTTTTTTTTTTTCCCCCTTTTTTAAATTTTTTTTTTTTTCCCCTTTTTTTTTCAATTTTTTTTTTTTTTTTTTTTTTTTTTTTTTTTTTTTTTTTTTTTTCCTTTTTTTTTTTTTTTTTTTTTTTCCCCTTTTTTTCTTTTTTTTTTTTTTTTTTTTTATTTTTTCCCCTATTTTTTTATTTTTTTCCCTTCCCTTTTTTCACTGCTATTACAGTGATCTCCACTAGTATCTAGGTCCCATGCCAAGCAGCTACCCAGCTACTTACTGAACACAAGAGGTTGCTCACTCGGCATCAGGGGTGTCCCTAGGGTTGGTGTCACCCGGTGCGGTCACACTTGGTGAAACCCCCTTCGACGATCCCCGCAGAATGGATCTGATCTCCGAATTGAGCAGAATGGATCAGAGTCCAATCCATTATGCTCTTCAATCCGCAGATTCAATCCATCCTGCGGGGATCGTCAGCTTTCTTTACAACTTACCTTTTCGTGGATCGGGTCCGGTGTCACCCCGTATAGGTTGCATGCCGACGATCCCTGCAGGATGGTTCTGCAGATTGAGCATAATGGATCGGAGTCTGATCCATTATGCTCCCCAATCCACAGATCCGATAAATCCTGCGGGGATCATTGGCATGCAACCTATACGGGGTGACACCGGACCCGCTCCACAAAAAGGTAAGTTGTAAAGAAAGCCGACGGTCTTTCTTTACAACTTACCTTTTCGTGGAGCGGGTCCGGTGTCACCCCGTGCAGTAAGTGTCACCCGGTGTGGCGCGCACCCCCCGCACCTGCCTCGGGACGCCACTGCTCGGAATGGGTGCCTTTCTAGAAACTCTGCATTTTCTCAATGAATGCAAAGTGTTCTCTGATTGGACAAGTTGGAGAGGAGGTGCAGTTATGTGTTTCGGTACCTAGAAGCTAGTGAAGATCACTGTAGAAGCAGTCCCTACTACATTGATTTCCAACTTCCACAAGGATCCAACAGCAATGGAACATACTTATGTACGCTGCATTGCCAAAAGTATTAGGACGCCCCTCCAAATCAATGGACTCAGGTATTCCAATCACCTCCATGGCCACAGGTATATAAAATCAAGCACCTAGGCATGCAGACAGCTTCTACAAACATTTGTGAAAGAATGGGTCGCTCTCAGGAGCTCAGTGAGCGTGGTACCATGATAGGTTGCCACCTGTGCAATAAGTTAATCTGGAAAATTTCATTGCTACTAAATATTCCACGGTCAACTGTTAGTGGTATTATAACAAAGTGGAAGCAACTGGGAACAACAGCAACTCCACATAAAATGACAGAGCGGGGT